AATTTTTTTTTTTTTCTCATCCAAACCAATCACACTGAGATAGCCACTGGCAATTCCAGAGACCCAGGCTGACCAGAGGCACCCTGAGCGGGGAAGGGCAGCCCAACAAAGGGAAGGAGCTGGGCGCTCCTGACCTCAGCAGGTACTGAGTGCCGATGAAGAGGCTCCCGTAGTACACAGTGGTTCTGCATGGACAGAACATGCTGAGGGAAAAAAGGGAGGCAGAAGGAGACAGCCAGCGAGGAACAAGAAACATGGCAGAAAAATCAGAGGAGAGACCCCAGGGACAAAAACAAAGAAAGCCCTGGGGTGTGCCACCCTGAATAACAGACTGGAAGGGGCGCTTGGTTAATCTCCGGGGGCAGCGCCAGCTGAGTGCTTATCTTTCCTGGCTACAGATCTTTCCTGCCGACAGAGACCTGTGGGCCCTGTGGTGACATTTGCTCCTGCTGGAATAAAGTGCCTGTGGCTCATTTCCACTCATCCCTTTCAATTTTTTTTCTTTGTCTTCTTATCATACTTCTCAACCTTGGGACAGGGCCTTCTGGACCCACCTGCTTGACTTGCAGGCCGTGGCTCCATATCCTTTCCAGCAGGTCACAGAGGCTGGCGATCAAGGTGTTCTCTTCCAGGCCGGTGATGTTGGCCTCTCCATGGCCAAGTTCCACGGCCTCATGGCCCATCTTCTCCACTAGCATGCGCTTGGTCTGGAACATGTAGTGTGGCTGTGGTGTTACCCTGAGAAGCCCCCAGCCCGCCAGGCCCACCGGACAGAGGCCAGGCTTCCCTCCTGCTACGTCTAAGGGCGGCCTGGCCACAGCCTAGGGTATGTCTTAGCTACGGGGTGCCTACCTGGAGCAGCACCAGCTCTGCTGATCAGAGAAACAGGACCACTCAAGAGGACTAAAAGGCTCCTCAGAAGCATCCCCAAGGAGGGGTGACGATGTTAAAAGCCTCTGCCGTCAGAGCCTGAGCCCGGGCCTCCAGCCGGCAGACCCCAGTGGCTGTGGCATTTCACAGCGGTTAGGCAGAAGCCACCATCTAGGGAGGCTCTGGGCCGGCTCAGAACTCTGAGTTGAGTGAAGGAGGAACCTTTGCCATCCTCCTTCCCCTGCTCCCTGTGTGTGGGCTTGGGGAGATAGGAAGAAGGTAACGTGTAGCAGCCTGAGGCACTCTCATCAAACCTACAGGAAGAGAGTCTGGTTTGTAGGGCTGGGACAGCTGCAGAGCACACAGGGAAGACGTGCTGCAGGAAGCAGCTATCAAGTGGGCAACCCGGACTGTGGGCACGAAGCTTCTGCATTTTGTCCCTTGGTACTGTGACCTCCAATAAACACAGGTGTCTGAAGGCCAAGTGTGTGACACACACAGAGCCTTGCACAGCCAAGTCTCTTCCTGGCTATGCTTCACTCACACAGAGGAGGGGCTCTCACACACACACACACACACACACACACACACACACACACACACACACACACACACACACACACACAAACCCCACTCCCCCGGTACAGCCGTGGCTGGCTTCCTGCCTGTCCACATCAGGGAGGATGAGAGTCAAGACAGGCAAGGGGAGAGATCTGTGCAGGCTCTCCATGATTCCATGGGCAGTGGAGATGGGGCTCACAGCTTCGGCAAGGGCACAGGGTCTGTACCTGGCTTTCCTGGCTCCCTGCCACCCCCGCCCACGTGGAGGTGTACCTTCATCCTGCATTCTTTCAATAAGCCTTCGACGAACTTGGAGTTGGTCTGTGCGATCACTGCGGGAGAGAGGTCTGACAGTTTGGGTTGCCTCAGGTTTTTTCCTAAGCTTCGTGCCTCTTGCATGTATTTCTAAAAATCAAAGAGTATTTTTAATGCACATACCGCAGGTCTTCTGTGTACCTGCTTAACCTCACACCGCACGTACGGGGAGCCTCGCGGTGCAGTGAAGGGCACAGGAGTGTCAGGTGTCTGCAGTGAAGGGCGGGGCCTCGGGCCCTCCACAGTGACCCTTGCCGGAGCTCGTTGGGTGAAAGCTCATGCGTGACATTTTGGAATTTCTGGTTTAGTCTTGTTACTGGGCAAACCTGAGGCTGGATTAGTCAGGGTCAGTCGGGATGAGGAAGTGTGGGGCTGGATTTCAAGCCCAAGGTTGTGCAGGACCCAGCCGTTCTCACACCAGCATCAGGCAGACAGTGAACCTAGAGCGCTGGGACCTGCTGCATGACCTCAGGCCCATCTGCTCAGTGGTCAAATGGGCAAGGCCTCCTAACAAGAGCAGCAGTGACTCAAAGAAGCCCTGGGTGCAAAGGGACCAGTGGGGGGGGGGGGCTGGTTTCTAGGACAGGCTGCCGCCATCCTCCCGTCTGTTCCACAGCGGAGGAAGTTGGAAGAACTTGGAAGGAGACAGCCCACTCATTACTTGTGGCCAGTACGAGCGCGGGAAGAACACTGTGGCTCTGGGTCTCTGTCCCCTGAGAAAGCACCTGCAGATTCCACACACTTTCATCAGAACCATGGGTCTGGATCGCCAGGAAGCCCAAGGGCCTTGGGCCCATGGTCAAAGAACAACTGCTCTAAGCTGTGTAGTGAAGCCAGGCGTTTGTGTGGGGGCAGAGAGAGCACGGCCAGCCAGCACACCAACACAGCAGCCACAGGGCGCACGGGAGGGCTCCCTAGCTTCAGGGGAGGACCCGGCATTGTAAGGGGAGGTGTGTGAAGCTCTGCTTTTTTATTTTTAATAAAAGGGAGTTTGTACATTGAATATAGCTCGCTTTCAAAAAATAACCTGCTAAACCTGGTACAAATTTAAGAAAACACAAGTACTTCTTAGGGCTTCAACTGACTAGTTCACCCGCCACTTTCCAACTACCCAGTAAAAAGCAGCATCAATAGCAGTTTCCTTTAGGGCATCTCTGTAAATCAGGTGAACCTGCTCACACTTTGTTCTTGTAACACCTGTGTGTATTTCTTTCTGCTTTGAGACTTTCTTGAGAGGGGCAAAGAAGGAAGATAGAATGAGAGACAACTCCCACCCCTGGGAAATTAAAGGTAACAGGTCGACCACACATCGTGAAGGTCAGTGTCCAAATAAATAAAAGGAAGTGAAAACTGCTTCTGAAAAAAAAAATCAACCTGCGAGACGGATTCTAACAGAATCACAAAGTCCATGCACCTGTCATTTAAAGTTGTGCTGATAGAGCTTGGCAGTCTACGAATTGGAGCTGAAGGATCAGTAAAAACCAGACTGACTATGATATAAAAAGGGATCCGTCTGCCCTGAGGGTCCACCCTCATCTTTCAGGCTGGGAAAACCCCAGAGCCAGAGACTCCATCCCAGGAGAGCTTAGTGCTCCTTCTAGACACTGAGAGGAGAAGACCAAGCAAAGTCAGGTAAACCTGGTCCCCTATTTCACAATGAAATCAGGAGGCCAGAGGTCCCGAGTGAGAACTGCTCCATCAACCTGGTGAGTTGGGTGCGTGGGGGTGGTGGGTCCCGGCCAGCTCCTGGGCCGGGGGCCGGTTCTGCCTTTGTGTGTCCATTCAATCTGGGCGACTCTCTTGGACTTCAGTTAAATGACATCCAGTTGGACAAGGTGACCTCAAAGTCTCCTCTCAGCACTAAGATTCCACTGTGACCTGATTTTCTGAGCATATTAGACACAGACCTGGACGAGTAAATTAAAACACTGTGGGGATGAAACCTCGCCAAAGAAAAGCCCCTTGACCAGGAATCACTGCTGCAGGCCTGCAGAATGCTTATGTAAAAAGGATTTTGGGATGTTAACATATTCTCCTTTGGAAGAAAAACAATCTGCTACATCAGGTTACTGCCACTCCAAAAGAAACACCACCGCTGAGAAAAGTCACTTCTCCCTGGTTTCAGCACAGAGGGGCTGGTGGCAGCGAGTGTCACCCGGGGACAAAACACCAGCACAAGGTGAGCAGCAGGGAAGAGGCCAGTGCTCCCAGGAGGAGTGCGCTCACACCGGTGGGGGCAGCGGGGGACTCGGGCAAGCTCACCGCTCCTCACCACGCGCAGGCAGAGAACATACCAGGCAGCGCTCAGAGAAGGATTTTTTTGGAGGCCGTGCAGGAGGAGGTGGGCCCTGGTCCCACTCCCAGAAAGCCATGGAATTCCAACAGACCGAGGGGTCCCGGGAAGACTAAGGACCCGGATGCCGAAGGCAGAGAGGTGAGAGAGAGAAGTCAGGGAGAGAGAAAAGCAGAACACACATGCAGGTGATGAAGTCACAGCAAGGGGGGAAGAACTAGAGGGGAGCACCGGGGGGAGCACGGGCAGCTGTTCCCTGGCTCTCAGCGCTCAGATTCCAGACACACGGACACGCCGGCCAGAGGCAGCTCTGCTAGAAGGAGCCCTTCTGCTTGACTCCTTCGAGCCCCTGATTGCATTTTCCTGTGATCCCGTGGAATGATGAAAAGCTGACTTCCAGTTCCTCAACTGTTCACTGTGTTGTTTGACGTGTAAGTAGCACAAATAAAGCAACAGAATCTTAATTTAAAAACACTTTAAGAAGTGGTGTCAGTGAGTGGAGGGCAAAGCACAGGCAGATGCTGATGTTTTGCTGAAACCCAGACAAGCCTGTAGTTTCTGTAAGTCCTCCCACACGTCACCCCATCTTCACCTGATGTAGCCTCCTTTTAGGTGTATTGGAATGACAAAAATGGAAAAAGAGGGGCCTCCCTGGTGACACAGGGGTTAATTCTTACCACTGTCAGGCTACCACCAACCACTGCAGCCTGAGTTTGATCCCCGGCCAGGGAGCTGACCCACATGGTGCTGAGACCTCTCCTCTCTAGCCTGCTGCTCCCCTCAGCAGCGGATTTCAGTAGATCTGCCTGCTCCTCACTGTCTTTGGGGAATTCTCTCCACCCCCCACCTCTGGCCTACATCCCAGTCCTTATATGCATAAATAAACAAAAATAAATCTTTAAAAATGTTAGGTACAAAGAATTATTTTAAAACAGAACAGATGCATTTCAAAAACGGGTACCCCCGTCTTCTTCCCCATCTCCCTGGCCCCCTCCTCCCATCTTTCCTCCTCCCCCTTGCCCCCCCATTCCCACGTACCTCACGCAGGTCGTTGTCTAGCCCCACGTGCTCGGGGTGCTGGCGGAGCCGGTCCTTCCTGCGCTGCGTGGTGGCGCGGCTGACCCGGCGGCTGAAACACAGCCGCACCCAGGTGAAGGTGAACACCTGCCCCCGCCCCAAGCCCCAGTTCTCTTTACATGGGAAAGCGGGAACATTCAAAAGGCTCATGGCACTTATATTTCAACTGATTCTCTCAGATGAAATTTCTTCATCAAGCTGCTTCTGCACTCTCGCCCCCCGCCCCATCAGCAGGAAAGCCCCTGGCTTTCAGTGTATTCATAAGGACAGGCAGCTCCTGCCACTATTGTGGTGTTTTAAAAACTGAGGCTCAAGGCCCTCCCTGGTGGTGCAGCGGGTTAAAGTGCAGCACTAAGAAGCTAAAGCCAAAAAAAAAAAAGAAGCTAAAGCCACTTCAGCATGAGTTTGATCCCTGCCCTGGAGGTGACCACATGGCGCGGCAGACCTCTCCTGACCCGCCCGCTGCTCCCCTCAGCAGTGAATTGTCGATCTGCCTGTTCTGCTCCCTGCTCTGGCTCTGGTGAATCCTCTCACTGCCCCTACACCTCTGACCTGTACCCCAGTTCTGTATGCATAAATAAATAAATCTTTGGAAAAAAAAAAACTGAGGCTCCAAAAGGCAGTGTCTCCCCTGTGGAGATTGCCCCGTTTCCACCCTCCTGCAGAGAGGCACCCCACCATGGCGAACCTCCTTTGCTCCCTGGTGCGGCCATCCTCTCCCACAGTTCCCAGTTTTGCTTCGGTGCCCACTCTATCACTCACACCCAGTCCCGCAAAGACCTGCTTTCACTTCGCCCTCAGACGCTGGACACGCTCTCCCCATGTCCTCCTCCCTGGACTTCAATGCTGCACACACAGGGAGACCACCTTTCCTCCAACCCCAATGTACTGGCTACCTGCACCCTGAACGGTGTTCAGGCCCCTCCCAGCTGCAGCACTGTCCCTATTTCACTGTCCTGTGCCCTCCACTCGCCAGCCTGCTGGTGTCTCCACAGTGACTGTGAGTTCTCCTTCCTTGTTGCTCTCATACAAGCTGCTTTCAGTTTTGATGTGAATGGGGCCCTACTTTAGTCCCCTGCGGACCGTAAGTTCATCTTAAATCAGCCCCGAGAATGCTCTTTGTGAAGCCACTGGTCCCTGTGGATGATGTGACCAAGCTGGGCCCCAACACAACCTCAGGACATTGTTCTAAGAAGTGGGGCATCTGGCGGGAGCACAGGAGGACTGGCCGGGGGGCGAGCGCCTTTGGCGAGGGGGGGTGGGGTGCCCACGGGGGCATAAACTTGTACTCCTAAGTCACCCACAGTGTTATAGACCCACAATACCTCCATAAACACAGTTTAGAGAAATAAGAAGAGGGACATATGGACATGGACACAGAGGCCTGGCAGCTGAGTAAGGATGGAGGCAGAGGCTGGAATTTGCTGCCACAATTACTGGGGCCACGGGAAACTCAACAAGGCAGGAAATAGCCTCTCCAGAGGCCTTGGAAGGGGCACGACCCTTCCCATCCCTTGATTTTTGATTTCTAGCTTCCAGCACTTTGAAAAAATAAAGTTATGTTCCTTTAAGCTGAGTTCAGGGTTTTCTGTTAATAGCAGATGAATATAGATGGTGAAAGCATGATTTTCCGATTCCATTAGCCTGTATTCATGTAACTATCCCCAAGTACAAATAACTTGGGAAAAAAAGGAAAAGACTCTGTTCTTTGGATTATTTTACATGTTGACATTAATGGTCAAGTATTTATAGAAAGTCAGTCCATATTTCAAATAGAGTAACGTGCTCTTACAAAAAGCAGTCCGGTTGCTAAGGCGCTAGCAGCCACTCACGGCCCAGCCGCCCCTTCAGAGCTGCATGGCCCCGGCCTTTATTCATTCTTCCACCTGCTGCTCAGGGGATGGACACACTTACTTGTTGTTAGTTGGTCCCGTCGCCAAGACATCAGACTGCAACTTTGGAAAGAAGCCTTGCTCGTATTTGCCTTGGCCAATTTTCATGTCCAGTAGGTGTGGGTGGATTGCTGTGTGATCCATTTTCATCAGTCGCTGCTCAATTGACTGAGCTGTAAATTAAATTTATGACCAATTACAGACCTCCTATTGGCTAAATCCTGCAAAACAGTGCCCCCCCCACCCATGCACTTCAAGGAACTCATTCTTTCTACCACTCTGAAATAGACTTTTTTACAAACGCGCTTCAGAAATCAGTCCAACTTAATATAAAAAGTTTAATTTTAAATACACACCAGATAATTAATTATCATGGTATTTTCTGCTGTTATCAAAGGGAGGGCAGCAGGGTTGTAAAATCTGTAATTGGGTACTGAAACAACTTTTCTTTAGTGGGAAATTCAATATAGAAAGTGAAATATGGTTCTGAGTACCACATGAAAGAAAACACTTTCCTTCAGCTGAAAGACAAGGGGAGGAAAAAGCAAACACAGCAGTCTTCCATGACTTAATTCCTTTGTATAAAGACCCCAAAGGTTCACAGCTCCTCCATTTGTAGAACCAGGAGCTCTGCAAAGTTTGTGACCTCATTTTCAGCAACAGGGGACTGTCCATTGTAGGGGACATAGGAGGGGATGTAGGAGGGGTGTGGATAAGGTCCAGAGGGACAGTGCAGAGGAAAGTAAGATTGGCAGGCATTCAGAATATGTCCAGAGGATAAGAACTGGCTGTTTGAAGAATGAAATAGGCCAAAGTTAAAAGATAGGATTACTCAACATTTCTATTTTAAGAACACTTAGAGGAGGAGGAGGTCTCAAAGACCTACCAAGAAACAGTGAACTATTTCTCTGGTAAAGAATTTGCTCCTAAATGTCTTTTGTCAACTGAATTTCCGAGGGCAAATATAACATGTGGGAAGTGAGACTAGGCTACACCCCTCTGTCTGGTGCTTGCTCAAGGGGAGGACAAGGAGAACCCATGGCTGGGTGATAAGCAGGAAACATGCAGAAATGCAAAGGGGTATTTTATAAATAAGTCACAGAATAAGTTACTTCCTTCAACACTAGCACATAGAGCACTGGTGATTATTCCTCAAATATATTCTAAGGAATCTTTTTTTGGGGTGGAGAGGGGCGTGTCCTTGGCACATTCCACTCTGGTTAACAGAACTTGCCCAGTGGCCTGCTCCACCCAAGCCTGGGAGTCAGGGTGTCTGGGTATCTGTGTCCCGGGGCAGAGACAGAGGTGGTATTAAGGGGCAGGGGGCTCTGTGGCAATCATCACTGCCTTGTGTGACTTAAACTTCAAAATGCTAGAGAGTGGCTTTCAGCTTCCCTAATTTGTCTTTGTAACCTGTGGGAATTTATACAAAACCTTTTTTTTTTTTTTT